CAACTGCCTTTGCAGGAGTCTGAGGCTCACGATGCACTCCAACCAACTGGCGTGCGGCAACTGTCTGATACCCACTTTGTGAAATGCTGAATGAAAGGTCTCTCGTGGATATTCTGGCCCGCCTTCACTTAGGGCGGGCACGAGGCTTGTTGGGGGCCTATGCCCAAAACATATGGATGTCGGCAAGGCCCCGTTGAGGGCTCAATCCTCACATTCCATCCCCCTTAGCTTCGAAAGTCCGTTGAGATGCTTACTTCACAGGTGCCTTCCCCTTTAGCTGTCTTTCATATTCTGCCACCACTTGCGGTGCTATTTCAATCAGTTCCTCTCTGGTGAACCACCGATCTTATTTCGGATCTGTGTGATGCCTGAATCTGACTCTGTATTCTCTCTTGGGTTTTGGAGCTCTTCCTCTGCCAAGAGGTCTGGGAACAGGCATGTCTCTATGATCCAGAATGCCGTCGATGTCCACGTGGCCATCCATGGTTGGGGGCAGCATTGATCTCCTTGAAGGAAATTGATCTGTCTCAGCGAAAGGTGCAAGCTTTGAGGCATGAAACACAGGGTGCGTGCGCAGGTGACCAAGGATACGGATAACATAGGAAGGACCATCCATCTCATCCCCAACTATGTCCAGGACTTCCCAGGGACCAAAATATTGGGGCATTAGCTTTCGAGAGATACCGAATTCCTGTCCTAGCTCACTAGCCTTGACCCAGACACGTTCCCCTACTTGAAATGAGGACTGTCGATGATGTTTGTTCTCAGAAGCAATCATTGCTTGCTGAGATTTCCTGATGTGCTCGACAGCTTGCTGTAGCAACTTCTCATACTGCACACCATACTCAAGTGTGCCCGGAGTTGCAAAGGGTCGGTTTTCAGGCAGGAGGAAGTCCAGAGCTGATCTAGGCTTCCATCCCAAGTGCAGCTGATTAGGACCGACGCCGGTACAGCTGTGTACAGCGTTGTTGTACAGGCTGGCAATGAGAGGCAACTTCTCATCCCAGTCATCCTGGCTGGGCTTGATGTAATGCCTCAGCAGGTGTTGTACAACTCTGTTCATCTGCTCGGCCTATCCGTTGCCTTCGGGATGATTCCCGGAGGTCATCTGAAGTTGACTGCCTAATTGCTCAGCTGTCTTCTTCCACAACTCACTTGTGAAGCGGACATCTCTGTCACTAACGATTGCCTTTGGCAGTCCAAAATCACGCACCCAGTTGTCCATAAACAACTTGATGACGTGTTCAGTCCTTGCAGTCTCTGGCATGGCAATTAGTCTAGCGTACTTGGTGAATCGGTCTATGATGACAAAGATGTGCCTCTTGCCATTCCTACTGGTCACCAGGGTGTCCATGAAATCCATGGAAACACTCTGTCCCGGACCAGCGGGGATAGGTAAGGGCTTCAGCAACCCAAGCGGTGCTTGAGTTCACGGCTTGTCCCGCTGACGGACCTGACAGGTCTCCACATACTTCTTTGCATCATCTAGCATTCCGGGTCACCAAAATCGTTGTACTAGATTGGCACTGGTCTTTTTGTAGCCAAAGTGTCCAGTTGCGCCATGACATTCTCCTAGAAATAAACTGCGCAAATGCTCACTAGATGGAATAACTAATCTTTTAAATTCGACCTTATCAAGAAAGAGTAGTCCGTCCACCATCACAAACTCATCTTCTGTGGCTTTATCTTTCGCCTGAAGTTTGCGTATGATGTCCATCGTGACAGGGTCTTCCTGATAGGCTCCCACCAACGATTGAGCTACTTCCTCAGATACACCAAACTCAGAAACTAACGCCCCTAGGTAGTCTGCCCTACGTGATAGCGCATCTGCAACCTTGTTGTACTCTCCCTTCAGATACTCTAGCTTGAAGTCATACCGATCTATGACCTCAATCCAGCGCTTGAGTGCATCAGAAAGAGTCAGTTGAGTCTTGATCCAAGGGTCTGATGGTCAGTTCTTAAATAGAAAAATCGTCCTAACAGAAAGTGCCTCCAATGGACAAGTGCCTTGTAGCAAGCATACAGTTCCCTTTCATAGGTGGACTTTGCCAGTTTCTTTGATGGCATCTTTTTGCTCATATACTCAATCGGTCTCAATTTCTTCCCATCCTGCTGAGCCAGCACCGCGCCAATGCCGTATTGACTTGCGTCAGTGGTCACAATGAAAGGCTTCTGAGGATCGGGCACCATGAGAACCTCATGATTCATGAGTGCATGCTTCAATCGTTTGAAAGCAGCCTCGCACTCATCACTCCAGTCCCATGGCGTGTCAAGTCGAGTTAGATCAGTCAAAGGAGAGGCGATTGTGGAATAGTTCTTCACAAAGTTCCTATAGTAGCCGCACATCCCTAAGAAAGATCTGACCTCAGTAACAGTCTGAGGTCGTGGCCAGTCCCTGATACTAGCCACCTTTGCATCTTCCGGCCTAATTCCTTCCGCGGATACCTCATGACCCAAGTACAAGATCCTAGTGCGTCCAAACTCACATTTCTCTAGGTTGACCTTATACTTGTGTTGTCGCAGGAGTGATAGTACAGTTTCTATGTGTTGTGCATGCTCCTTGACAGACTTACTAAAGATGAGAATATCGTCAAGGTACACGACGACAAACTTATCTAAGTAGTCATGGAAGATCGTATTCATGGCGTGTTGGAATGTACCCGGTGCATTGCAAAGGCCAAAGGGCATCACCACAAACTCGTACAGACTGTATCTGGTATGAAATGCAGTTTTCTGTTGATCCTCAGGTCTTATAGCAATCTGATGGTAGCCGAACTTTAAGTTTATCTTGCTGTAGTACTTACATCCCTGCACCTTGTCCAATAGGTCGTCTATGCGAGGTAGAGGCTCTGCGTTCTTCACTGTGATGGCATTGAGGCCTTTGTAATCAATGCACATCCTCAATGTTCCCCCCTTCTTCGGTACAAATAGCACTGGAGATCCGAAGGGGGAAGTACTCGGCCGTATCCAACCCTTTTCTGTCAGCTCTTTCAGTTGTCGCCGAAGTTCGTCCAACTCGGTTGGAGCCATCCTATAGATCCTTCCCTTTGGGGTTTTACTCCCTGGAATGATTTCTATGGTGTGGACAATCTCCCTGTCTACGACTCCTGTGGGCTCTTTGAACAGATCATGGAACTTAGCAACGACGTGTTCTATCTCTGGGGGTGTTTTAACGGCCTCCCCTTTCTCAGAGACATACACTAGGTACATACCCTCCGCTTGGTTCTGTTTATAGTAACTGTAGAATGCTGATGCGCACAAGCAGCCATAGGATTCTATTAAACTACTAGCCTTATACTTAGCCAGTCTCACGGTCCTTCCATCCTGCAACTTATGCTTTAGCACCTTCTTGTCCCAGTCAAACTGGGGCTTGGCAACCTCAAGGTAGTGCATTCCTAACAGCATATCGAATGGTAAGTCATTGCTAACCAGGAACGAAATCTTATGATTAAGTTCCCCTCCTCCATAGGAGAAGGTACAGACTACATCCTGGATATAGTCTGTGACAACCATGCGCTCCTTATTGGCCAAAGTAGATGCTACCGGTCTACAAAGGTGTTGTACCCGGTCCTTTAGGTGCAGCCTTTCCAAACAGTCGCGACTTATGTAATTCCGCGTGGAGCCGATGTCTACGAAGGCACCACATTTGCGGCCTCCTTCAGCAACTTCCACCACGAAATGTTCCCCTCTAGGACCTCTACTTAGTGCCACCGAAGATTCGCGAGGGTCTTTGCTTGACCACTCAGTTTCCAAATCTTCTAAGACTTTAGACACATCCAACGTACAGAGCATAGTTTGGTCTAGATGAGTCTGCAGGGTGACTAAAGAGTCATTAGCTATGGCCTTCTCATGAAGTGGGGAGGGAATCTGGCCCACTTCACCATGAGTAGAAGCAGCTAAAACCTCCACCGACCTCACATGTTTCCCGAGATGGAAGCCTGGGAATAAGGTACCCCTTCCTTAGGGGGTATCTTCTGCGTTACCTTTGCGTTCTTGCACTTGTACTGGGTGTCTCCATATTCACCACATTTGATGCAAGCACCACGCACTCGGCGGTCCCGCCACACATCCTGATCAAGACCTGCCTTACCCAATCTGCTACTTTGGACTGATTGGAGGCGGTTTGCCCTTGACTCTTTTGATGGCCCCTACCTCGGCCACCTGCCCTAGTCTTTACAACTGCATCAAGGGTGCTACCCTCAGCGACTTCCTCGCCGTCGTACTCTGAACCGTCCATCAGGTCGGTAAGTTCTTCGATTTCAGTTTGGGTCCCATCGGACTCAACCATCATCAATCTACTACCCTTCTTCTTCCATTCTTGTGGACTCTTCTTCTTCCTCCCGTCTACTGGAGTAGGCTGAGCACTTCCTAGAGCAGCCTCCAAATCTAGGGCCTTTCTAGAGAAGGTCTCAAAGGAATGATACTCAAGGCGAGCCTCGCTGGCCAGTAAGGTCCTGAGATTCTCGGGCGGACATCTCAGAAACATGGTCAATAAGACCTGGTCATCGTAGCGTATACCGGGAACGACGATGAGGTTCTCTACGGTACACGTTAGCTCTCTGACTGACTTGTACTTTCGCTGGTCCAATCTCAACATTGCGTCAGTGGCAATTTGTGCCTGCTGCGGATTATGCCAGCGAGCTTCTACCATATCTAAGAACTCTTCTAAAGTGAGGGTCTTACCCCAGTCTGCCATGCATCGTCCGAACCCGGCCTTCGCTACTATCCCATCCAGCCATTTGGCTGTCTTACCCTCAAGGTAAGATGCAGCAGTAATCACCTCCTCCTCCTGCAACGTCCTCTTTGCCCTTACCCACATTGGAAGTGTTCTCAACCAAGTGTTGAGCTCCTCGTCCTTCTTCTCACCGGAGAAGGCAAGGGGCGGTTTCATTGGGGTCTTTGGGTAACATGGACTTTGTTGATGTCCCTGTGGTGGAACAAATTGTTGCGGCTGTGGTGTAGCTCCAGCCGCTGGACCAGAAGAAGAAGAAGCTATAGTCTGTGCGGCTGCTACAGACGTACCACTTGGCTGTGTGCCAGCTTGTACCGGAAAGGGGCCTGACATCGCCGTTAACGGCAACGACGACTGCGCTGCTGGCCGTAATCCTGGCCTTTGTAAAAGGTCCAAGATTTGGTCCAAAGAGTTCTGCATCAGATCCAGCCTGCTGTCCACGTGCGGATGCAACGACAGTACGCTGGCCTTCAACACTTTCATTTGGTCAAACATGGCTGACTCGTCCAAACCCTCTAATGCAGCTTTGTCTGCCTCTAACGTATCAAGCCTAGCTGTTCTATTTTTGATCTACTTTTCTCTATCGGTAGCTTGCTTCAGTTCCCTCTTTAACCGAGCGCGGATCCTTTCGACTTGTTGGAGCTCTAATAGCTCCCTGCCGCGTGGGGTCAACGGACTGAACTGCGAGCCCGCCATTTGACTTGTGGACTGACTAGAACCTACCGATCCGGAAGTACCCGTGGGCCCTGGGGGCATCCCCAACTGGGTCCCAGACGAGGATGCAGCAGAGGATGCTGCCGCAGTAGCCATTGCTGCTGCGCTGGCTGCTGCTGCTGCCTGTTCCCTAGCTGCTGCGTTCGCTGCTGCCAACGGCTGACTTGCAGCTAGTGTTGTTTCTCTCGCTGTCGCGTAAGCACGAGCTCTAACTTCGCCACGAAGCCGTCTTTCGTCTCCCGACCGTAAGGCCTGATACACGTGCGGGACCCTAAGTGATCTCGAACGTGTCAGCCTTGCATCGTCAACTCTTCCCTCATCGGCGTCTGACCCACTCATCAGTTAGGCAAACACTATTTGCACTACAACCCACTGTTGGAGTCCTACCACAGCATGTGTCTGACCGGCACCTAATTTTCTAAAAATGAATGTGTCCGGCAGGTCCCCTACTTAACCGATCAAGTGGCAGCCTACAACATTCACAAAAGACCGTAAACATAATTTAGTTATGTCATGATTAGTTCACTTACAGAAGTTTTGCATAGAACTGGCTATGGTAGTATACAACAGTCCTAAACTAAATTGTCTGTGAGGTGTTAGCGGTCTGTCAACCAACTAATCGACAATAAAACTAAACTATGTTACAGATGTATGAACAGTGGGTATGGCTGTGCTTACAGTTGAGCACCAATTGGAACCTACCCTCCCCTCAATCCAACATACCGATGAGCATCATTGAGCAGCAGTGTCATAGGTGTGCAATGTCGGCCCACCCCTGTGCCCCAGGTGCATGCTTATGACCAGGCTGCCCTTTCTTTATCCTCGCGTGCAACGAGCCGTACGTCCGACTGATCTGGCTGATCAAGAGGCCTATTTAAGGACTGCCCCCAAGGTCGCTCAGGAATTATTTAACGTCGCAATCAGGACGACGATCACAGCCAATTGACAGATCGGAACCCCATCCAGAAATGTTTATAGACGGTCTGGGAGCGTCTGCATAAGCCTGTTCAGTCCGCACACCCCTCTATCAGCGCAGCAAAAGTGCCCTCATGGGCAAAGCAGCCATCGCATGTGTGTACTAACCCCATTGGGTTGGCATGGTGACCGTGACCCACGTGCTTCGACCAGGGCCCTTAAGAGGCACCGCCCTTTCTCCTTCCAGATGCGCCACCGGGAAGATTGTCGTCTCTCAAGGTAGAGCGCTCACGACACCTCACCAAAAGAGAGGACTCTGAAGTTGGACTCACTTCCTCGCGGTAAGAAGAGATTGAGAGAGTAGATAAGGTAAGGGAACAACGTACCTGAAGATAGCTGCCCCCAACCACAGATTTCTCACCAATTGAGTTGAGTGTGAATTTGATGACCGGTCGTAGCCTCGGTACCACTCACAACTCAATGCAGTGCCACCTCAGCCAAATGCCACATCAGCATGCTCTCATCACCAATCATACATTCCGCCGTCGCCACGGCATCCCAAGCCGTATAGCCTTCCGGCGCACACCTCTCTACCCAGGTCGTGCGCCTAATTTCGGCCTGACGTCACAAGAACCAACTGCAAAGAAGCATCTCCAACGCACCAAGTCTGTATAACGCCAGCGCACCAAGGTAAGCGGCGAATCGAACCAGCTCCGATACCAATTTGCAAGGAACATGAATGTGGACGAAGCACAGAGATACCAATTGCAAAATCACACTGAAGTCCGAGTAGTCAAAGCAAGAGCAGATAGCACATCAGAACCAAGATACCATCCACTTGAGAACGATACAGCAAAAGTCGTGAGTCAATGTCCAAGCCCAATAGGGCAACACCGACAACATAACCCGAAGTAGCTCTCTCTCTTGAATGGCGCCAGGCGCCCTATCTACTCTACAGCCTATACCTACAACTACAGCATGGAAGCAACCANACAACATAACCCGAAGTAGCTCTCTCTCTTGAATGGCGCCAGGCGCCCTATCTACTCTACAGCCTATACCTACAACTACAGCATGGAAGCAACCAGACAACTTGACGACCAGCGAGTGATGACGTCAACACCAATGCCGACCTCCTCTCCACCAGGTACGTCTCTCTCTCTTCCCTCACTCTCCCTTGTTATCCCACACAGCGCCCTTCACCTTCCGAAGACCACCTTCGCCCTCACCTCCTCCAGCGCCCTCATGCAGCCTGGCTATGGCTGCCAGCACCCTGCGCCAAGGCTGCGCCCTACCGCTTAGCGCCAGCCTGCCTTCCCTTAGCCTAGCGCAGCGCAGCACCTGCACTCGCAATGCAGCAGCGTGCCGGCTTTGCTCGCAATGGCCAAGATCCCTGCCCACCCGCCTGTTCTGCCTATATGCCAGTGTTGCGTGTGGGTGGTCTGCCTTGAGCCTGCGCCTGGGCCCCAGTACCTGTACCCAGGCCCAATGCAGATGGGGCCCAGGTAATACAGTTACGCCCCTTATTCTAGGGCCGTTGTCCAGATTCAGGCCCTGTACCGGTTTCCCATTGGTTTCCTCGGCCTCGACGACGAAATACTGCTTTTCTGAGGCCAGGGACCAATGTGTGATGTGTCGGCCTCCCAGACTGTCGCCCAGGGCTCAACCAACCGAGGCCCTGGGCTCAACTGCCTTTGCAGGAGTCTGAGGCTCACGATGCACTCCAACCAACTGGCGTGCGGCAACTGTCTGATACCCACTTTGTGAAATGCTGAATGAANCAACTGCCTTTGCAGGAGTCTGAGGCTCACGATGCACTCCAACCAACTGGCGTGCGGCAACTGTCTGATACCCACTTTGTGAAATGCTGAATGAAGGTCTCTCGTGGATATTCTGGCCCGCCTTCACTTAGGGCGGGCGTGAGGCTTGCTGGGGGCCTATGCCCGGAACATATGCATGTTGGCAAGGCCCCGTTGAGGGCTCAATCCTCACATTTCTAATTTTTCTGTAATTATTTTTATTTCGTTACACTGCATTTACAAGATCCATTTGTTTCTAATTTATCTGTAATTATTCTTATTTTGTTATTTAGGCTGGTCGGTCCTCACAGACCGGTGCACACTTTGTGGTCCCAGTCCCATTCCTTCGCGCCCAACAGCAGGTCATATCTGAGAACCATGCAGAGGCACGCCCTTGCCTCATCTTCCATCCATTCCTTGTTCGGCCAAGCCTTAACAGCCTGCAGGTCCAGCAGGGCGTTGTGGTAGAACCACTTCAGGCCTGCCTCCTTCCCTGGATCGAACCGCACCGTGGTGACTATGTGTATGGCCTGCGCTCCTGCGTCAAATTGCTTGGCCAGGAACTGGGATGTCTGAGTATGCAGAATCGAAGCAGCTGCAGGGGAGGTCATGTTTTCCAGTTTGGTCCAGAAGGATGACCAGCCCTTTAGCGTTACCCCTCGGGCCTGTGGCCGAGTGCTGTCAATCCTACCTCCCACTTGCCATCCTTCTTCCTAATCGGTATTACCAAGATGGATCCTGAGTATGTTATTCCCCTCCCCTGCCCCTTGCTCCACCAGGTGTCTCAATTTCCTTCTCTTTATCAAGTCTAGGGGTGCCTCTTCCTCTGGGTCTGTGGTGGGCGGGTCAGGTGGGTTGGGTGGAGGGGGGCGGCAGCGTATTCGAATCTCTGGGGGTGGGGGGGGGGCTGCGGATTCGAAGCTCCGGGTGGGGGGGCTATTGCTGTTCCATCTCGATGTCTGTTCCTGGCTCAGCAAGCTGTGTCCGGTTTCCACCAAGTCTGTGCGGTGGCTGCCAGGGGCGGTCGACAGCGGGAGTACACTATAAGAATGATTTTTTGCTATACCTCTGCCCAGCTCACGTCCGCCTGTGGCCCCTGTTCCAGTGTCCGCCTCAGAGTGGCGCTTCTCTCCAACATCGCAAATAGCTCCAGGTACGTCGTGTCCCAGAATTCTACTATTAATGGGCCAGTCCACTACTGCGACCAGCTTGGTCTACGGGAAGGTTCTAATGTGGTATGCCCTCCTCACCCTCTGTGGTTCCAATTCCTATCGGGTGAGGCTGGACTGTTTCGGGAACGGACTCCACCTCCATTGGTTCAGGCCCGAAGGCATACTGGAGGGGGTCTTGTTCTGCGTCCTCCTGCATTTGCTGCCACTCCTGTTGCTGTGTTCCCCCTGTCACACTGTGCTGCGCGGTGACGCCTTGGGTTGCCGTCTCAGCTGCCTGAGCGGGATGGATCTTCTCATCTGCAGGGCGGCACCCATACTTTTCCTGTACCCCCTGCATGTCCTCGCCTGCCTGCGCTACGTGAGCCTGCCCGGGCTATTGCTGCCTGGCGCCCTGCAGTGGCTCAAGTGTCTGCATCTGTACGCCCTGTCGGGCCTACGGCAGCTGTTGTGGCCTGACTTGCAGCTGTCCCCCTTACCCCTGCAGGGGATGGGTAGCTTCTGGTCACTGTTCTGCCTCCTTCTCTGGCCTCTGTCTGTTGTCCGCCAGAGTTTCCTGTTGCTTGTGCTGGGAAGCTGCTGCCCGGGTTCCAACGGCGGCTGGCCGCTGATCATTCCAGGCTGTGGCTGCCCGTCACCCTGAAGGCTGTCCGGCAGCTGCTTTGGGGCTGTCCTGTCCCTTGGTGTTGCCTTCTAAGTAGTGTGCTGCATCGGGGCCAAGGCTCTGTTCTGTAGCCCTAGTGTCTCCCTGCTCACGGCCATGCCCCCTTGGTTGCT